GAGGATTTTAACCTGCATCAAAGTAGAATGAGGAGAGGAGGGGAGAGGAGAGCAGAGCAGAGCAGAGCAGAGCAGAGCAGAGCAGAGGAGAGGAGAGGAGAGGAGAGGAGAGGAGAGGAGAGGAGAGGAGGGAAGGCAAGGGGAGGGGAGGGGAGGGGAGGGGAGGGGAGGGGAGGGGAGTGGAATGGAGTGGAGTGGAGTGGAGTGGACACCTTTTGAATGAAAGGTGTAATCGGTTCTTTGGAGGAGGCAACAAGTTTCGTCATCCTATCGTCCCTTATCTGCGGCAAACTTCCATCAGTTCTCCTCCCCCGTGTCCTGCTCCTGCTCCTGCTCCTGCTCCTGCTCCTGCTCCTGCTCCTGCTCCTGCTCCTGTTCCTGTTCCTGTTCCTGCTCCTGCTCCTGCTTCTTTACCATAAAGTTCGTTGCCGCGGTATCTTCATCGATAAGCAGGACTTGGGCTCCAACTGGTTGAGGGTCAAAGAAAAGCCGACGATGGAAAATCATGATCAGCAGCAGCAGCAGCACAATCATTTCCATCTCCATCATCATCTCCATCATCATCTCCATCATCATCTCCATCATCATCTTCAAGGCTTTCAATGATGTTTGCTGCCTGTAATGTCTCTCAGCCAACAAACTCGCTCCTATTCTCCACCCCTTCCCTTCTTGTCAACTCCTCCTCCTCCTCCTCCTCCAAATCCTCCCTCCTCTCTACCTGGGAAGTACTTCCGGAAGCGTCGGAGGTGCAAAAATCTACGGTTGGTCTGGCAAAACAAATTTCAAGGAGAGGAGCAAAGAAGGAGGAGGGGAGGGAGGAGGAGGGAGGGAGTGTTACCTTCCGAATGGAAGATTTTGAATGAAAGGAGATATGTTGACATTCTGCCAGAATTGTAAGAGATTTGAGTGATGAGGAGGGGGCAGATAGGGAGAACGAGGAGGAAAAGAAGGAGAGGAAGGAGGAGAAGAAAGAGAGGACGGAGGAGGAGGAATGGCAGCAGCAGCAGCAGCAGCAGCAGCAGCAGACCTGTATGCTCCTTCCATCTTCAGCTCTGATCGTCACGGCATGTGGGTTGGTGACCACAAGCTCTCGTCCATCACCAGGAATGTGATTGTAGATGCCTGAAGGACAATGAGCCTCGATGCCGGTTATGGTCGTTATCAGGGAAGAGGAGGAGCAGGAGCAGGAGGAGGAGGAGGAGGAGGAGGAGGAGGAGGAGGAGGAGGAGCAGGAGCAGCAGCAGGAGCAAGAGGAGGAGGAGAAGGAGGAGGAGGAGGAGGAGGAGGAGGAGGAGAAGGAGCAGGAGCAGGAGCAGGAGGTTGGGAAGATTTCGTAACCTTGCTGCAGTGCCTGGAGCAAAGTAGATTTGCCGTGGAAACCTCCACCGACGATGAGAGAGATTCCTTCATTTCACAGTCATCAGCAGCCTCCCAATCCCGCTGCTCCTCCCGTTGATCTTCCTACTCCTTTTCTCCTCATCATCAACCTCGTACTCCTCGCCCTCCTGCTCCTGCTCCTGCTCCTGCTCCTGCTCCTGCTCCTACCTCTTCCTGATCTTTCTTCTTCTTTCATTCACACTATCACCTCCTATTCTATCTCGTTTCTCCTGCTTCTCCCGCCCCCCCCCCCCCCCCCCAGACCC